GGTCAATAGAGAGAGAGAGAGAGAGAGAGAGAGAGAGAGAGAGAGAGAGAGAGAGAGAGAGACCTTGGTAAATCAAATAAGAAAAGGTTAATATGATTAATCTTGATATAATAGTCTTTATGTGTATATATATACGCGCCTTACTGTAGAACTGTAACACTAAAATAGTAAGTTTTGTTTTTTTAATTGCTTTAAAAAAGACTTAAAATTTTATGAATGTAAATTACTTCATTATTCATATTGATTTATAGGTTTAGAAGATTTTCTACCATAGTAATGTAATTATATGAAGTAATAAATATAGTTTATTTACAAAATCTGTAAATTCGACTAATGAATATATTATAAATTGCTAGTATACCTTCAACAAATCGTGGCCATGCTTTTTCGAAAGCTTGTTTTAAACAGGCGGAATTATCAGCTGCATCCTGCTTGCAGGTAGATACAGCTAATTAGAAATAGAAATAGAGTAAATTAGAGTACGAGTAAAAATATAAAAACACAGCAATTGTTTTAACAATATAATATATTTATATTAATAATTTCATTAATGTATTAATGTATTTCAAAATATGATGTTAAAGAATAATAATTCTTTTTTAAACGTAATGCATATTATCATGTGTATTTGCAGATATTTCAAAGAGAAAATTCTTCTCCAATCTTTTTTTAAAATATTAAATATAATTTTTCTTTTATAATTCGTAGTACTTTTGGTTCATAAAAATTATTATCGCGAGTATAAATGAGAACACTACTCGCTCAGCAAAAGTACGAAATAAATGTCTAATAAAAGGAAGTGACATTCGTATATTGGAACAATTAAATACAGAATACAGAAAAGTATCATATTATTTTATGAGGATTTAGATATTTCAAAACTGATTGCGACGATCGGTTCAGCATTAGAACATTTTTTCATTTGTGTTCCCGTAAAAAATTTTGTATGCATGAATTGTATGTGTGTATATATATATATGTGTGTGTGTGTGTGTGTGCGTGTGTGTGTGTGTGTATAAACATAAATATATATAATCATCTATGAAATATGACCATACATGTTCATACATCCCTCTTTCTTTTTTAAAATTACTTTTTACTGTAATAGAAATAAGAATAGTAATGTAAAAACATAAAAAAAAAATTAAAAGAGTAATTTTCATACTGTTTATTTTAGAAACAAATCAAGTTTGAAGAAATATAAAAAAATTACTTATGTATAATTATATATTATATTTATGTATATTATATTTTTTAATTATATATAAAATTTATATAT